CTGCACACTTCGCAATTTGCAGTGCTTTGTTTTTTTAACTGGAAAAACTGATACCTAATTTAAATAACACAATATTTAAAACTTTTGAACCTTTGAAACTAAAACAAAAATCCGGGTATTTGGCTTTTCCTTCAGAGGCCACATAAACGGGACAACTGCACCCTTAACACAGTCATTCTTCCCTCTTGAGTGTATTTGTGCAGCTGAATTGAAGCTTATTTTAGCTCCTAATAAAACACTGTAAAATCAGTGCCTTGGACAGCACTACATTCTTCACATACGTCAATCTCTCTGAATAAGTGCTTTTCTAAGAAGTTTCATTTCATACCGATTTGGGTTTGAAGCTTGTCACCTCCTATTCATGAAAGGAAAATACTATCAACCTTTTTTTCAGCATAAAATACTAGAAAGAGTAAAGAAAAATTTGTACAGAACTAAAAGGCCTGGTTCACAATCATTTTAATGTCTGCAAAGTGAACATCCTGCTCCAGCTCGTGGGAAGCTTGTGCAAGTGTAACTCATTCCTTTATAGTCAAAAATCTATTACACTGGCTTCAGCTCTCTGTTTAACGTAAGGGATTTGACCCTCTGGTTCAGAGCTCAGCGGTAACAAAGGGAGTTCCAATTAAATACATGGGGTAGCCTAATAACAAAGACTTGCTTGAGAAATAGCTACGTAATCTTCCTATCAATTTCGTGTGTTTATGAACAGACCAACTATGATAGGAACGAAATTCCTCTTGTATACACAAGGATTCCGCTACCAAAGCACAGCGAAACTACACCGACTCCGCCAGAAATCCCTTGCAAGACTTAAGGCATTTTCTGACAATGCTGCAAAGTAGCACACCAAAATAGCTCTTACCGATTTAAACACACCGCGCATTATCTCAATCGTGCTAATTTTCCCTTTACTTCCCTTAAAAAACACTTAGGTTACCCCCGCTGCCTTCCAAGGCCAGGATTATTTCTTACGTGCTTGACAAAAAGATTCACATTTACATCGACGCCAGTGGCGATGGGCCATGCGATCCCCACAAAGTTTCAGCCAGCCCCCCTCCCCCAACAGAAAGCAACTCCTTCCATCCGCCCCTTTCGCTGAAGAGGGAAAGGATGAAGAAAACGCGGGAGAGGTAAATCCCCTTCCATTTTACAGCGTGAGACGGCAACAGCCCCGCTCGGCGCCCCTCCCCCAGCCGCCACATGGCGCCAACAAAAGGCAGCGCCAGAACAAAGGAAGCGCTGGTGCTGCAGGGCCCCGGCTCGGCGGGGCCGCTCCCGCCGCCCTCCCCGCCGGCCCGAGCGGGGCCGGGGGCGCTGCCGCCGCCGCAGGGCCGCGCCGGGCCCGGCGCTGCGCACATGGCGCCCGCGCTTACCCCGCGTCCTCCTCGTTCTTGCTGGCGTTGATCTGGTCGCCCTCGGCCCCATTCTGGCTGGCGGCCGTGCCCGCTGTTCCCGCCGCTGGGCCGGCTCCCGCCGCCGCCGCCGCCGCTCCCGCTGCTCCTGCTGCTCCCGCCGCCGCAGCGGCCGCGCCGCTCTCGGCCTGCTGCTCCCCAGCGCTCTCGGCCGCTTCGTGCCCGTTCTGGGTGGCGCCGGCCGCCAGCTGCTGCTCCGCTTCCGACATGGTGCCCCGTCCGCAGAGGCAGAGGGACGAGAGGCGCCTGCGAGAGACGAGCGCGGGTCAGCGCGGCGGCTCCTCCCCGGCCGGGCCGGTCTGATCCGGTCCGCTCACACCCCTCCCCCTTCCCGCCGCCATCCCGCTCGTACTCACTTTTAAAATCCGCTCCCGATAAAACCCGGGCTGACCGAAGTCTAATTAAAAACCGCCCCGGCACTGGTGCTGGAGCCGATCCCGCTCCCCGCGGCTGCTCCGCACCGGCCGCACCGCCACCGCCGCCTCCCCCTCAGACACGTACTCGGGCCCGCGCCCGCGACGCGTGGCCGCCTTTATACCGCCGGAGCCTGCGCCACACCGCAACAAGCCGCGTCTTGGTTGGGCGTCGCCGCCTGTCACTCAGGGGAGTCTGCCCTCGCTACTGGCTGCCCTGCCGTGGTGGGCGGGGCCACGCGGGGAGAGGCGGGCGAGGCGGGACCGGGAGTTGCCGGCGGGGCCGGGCGGGATCGGGAACGGGGCCGGGGTTGGAGATGGGGATCGAGGCCGGGGCGGGATGGGGATCGGGGCCGGGGATCGGGATCGGGGATCGAGATCGGGACCGGGGCCGGGACCGGGGCCGGGACCGGGGCCGGGACCAGGGCCGGGACCGGGCGGCGTTCCCAGCACGGTCCGTGGCTCGGTCCCGCCCGGGAGCGCCGGGCTGCGGCCGGAGCGCTGCGCTTCCCTTGGAGCGCCGCCCTGGTTCGGCTCGAGGTGCGCTGAGGGCGCTGAGTCAGTTACTCCAGGACCAGAGGTTTGCTTAATGTTTCCAGCTCTGCTGGTTTTGCAACCGACAGGGGCCAGAGTTTGTTGTTTTTAAACTTAGATTTGGATATTACATAACTCGGGGCTGGAGCGCCGAGCACGTGCCCGGGCCTTAATTCCTTTTGCCCAAGGATATGTCAGCCTGGTTGGCAAAGTTGTGGGTGAGGAGCCCAGAGGAGAACTGCTCCCTGTAACCAGTTGTACGGTGTACAGCTCCTAATGTCCTATTTGTCCATGCCAAAGGGGCAGATTTTGCCTTCTAGATTACACGTAAAGCTTACACATCTCTAAATAAAACTGAAAGTAAAGCCCTTTGCTTGTGGGCAAAAAGTAACAATTATTACCTAACTCACTGCAGTAATGAGTGCGCAGGTTAATGCTCCACCCTCTCAAATACCGCTTGTGGTTCAACTTTAATTTGCTGTTAAAACTCAGGAGTGCCCACAGCCACTTGTGAGTAGAAGCAGTGGAGAAACATTTTAAATGACCTGGTCTGGATAATGAACTGTCCTTCAACTGAGCTGCTTTTAGAACTGTTTTTATCCTAAATACAGTAGATCAGAATTCATCCTTAGGTATGCCTGTATCAGCACAGGCTACTGACAGGGTAGGGTATGATCTACACAAACTCTCAACCACAACTTTAGGCTGAACTTCGTAAAAAAAAACATTCTATGAAGTCAGGGCAGTAAATATAGTAGAGACAGCAAGGCTTGAAAGTTGTAAGGTCCTCAGGACAGCTTGTAGATGTTGGCTGATAGAGATGCTCATCTTTATGAGAATATATTTTTATATTGTTTTATTCTATTGAACTTTTAATAGAATGTTAGAAGCAAATAATTTTTTATAAGATACCAAAAATTTATACCATGTCAGAGGAGCTTACCCCGCATCCAGCAAGGGGGCTTCTTGTGATTTTTCAAGCAGCTTTGGCTTAGATTTTAAACCTCTCTGTACCAAAAAGATGTGGTTTGTGATTACAACCATCTGTCTGTCAGCTAAGTCATTCCCTTACTGATAGCCTAGTGGGAAAATACCACACCTTTGTTTAAGTCAGGGAGGCAAGGCCACGCTGAGGCTTGCATGGCTGAAGTGGTGAATGCCACTGCTCTGGTTCCCTGTCCACCTTGTTTTTGCAGCCTTTTGTGCATGCAGCTGTGGCAGGTGACTGTGGAAATAGATCTGTGCTGAAGTTACAAGTTTACAGAGCAGAACCTGAGAGTAAAATGAAATTTGCAGCTATTTGCATGGGTCTGTCAGGCTCAGCTGATGGACATAACCTGAATGCTCTGGATTATATATTTATAACTTCATTTTCTTTCAAGATTCACTGCCCATAACATCTGCTTTGTATTTCATCGAATCTTGCTAAGAACATGAATGTCATCTCATTAGCACTTCTACATACATTTTCCTTTCCTTTCTCTTCTCTTTTTATTTCTCCAGTTCTGTTTTTTGCTTTGCTGAACCTGTGTCATCCTTCCCTACCACTGGCACTTTGTCAAGTGTTTTCCTGTTTCTGACTAACAGTGCTTTCTTTAAAGCCATGCTCATTTCCAGCTGCCCGTTTCTCCTGGTCAGTCCCTCTCAATCTCCCACCCTGGCAATTCCAAGCAGCAGGCCCCAGCTGGCAGGGCTCTTGTGATTCCCAGTTGCCCCATGTTAATGGCTGTTTGATTAAACCTTTTGTGTCATATCCAAGAGCAGGATAACCATGGGGCTGTAGACTGGCTAAGGAGCCTGGTTTGAGAACTGTGACTGGCCCAACTAACAAAGTCATTCTTTACACATCTAGACATCAAGGACTGAGAAATTTGAGAATGTGGGTCATTGTGATTATTTTTTGTCTCACCAGGCCCCATCATGCCACAGGTAATGTTAATGAATTTCTCTGGGCTGTGACTTTGCTTTTGGTCTTGCTTTTCACTCCCCACTCAAAGCCTGTGGTTAATCAAAGAAAAGTACACACATACCTTCTTGGGAGGCAATTCTCCCTATATGACACATTTACTGCTGAGAAAAAAAAACCAAACTGTCATTGCCATTTTTTAATACTGTAATTGCAGTGTTTACTCATGGTGTTGACTGAAATTCCATTGAATTTTACTTGCATATGGGGCTTCTCATGTTGGGTCTAATTCTGCTGTTCTATCAAACTTGCAGTTTATGCCAAGCCCTGCCCTTGCTGTCTGTTCATAGGAGTTTTGTCACATACCTATATTTATTACCGCCTTCTTTTTCTTGGTCACCCTCCATTTCCTCATTATTTCCCATCTGTTGATTTTTCTATCTTCTCTTCTAAAAAAGAAAAAAAAAAAAAAAAGAGAACCAACACATAATCCACTCTCTTAAAACTTGGTGTAATTTCTCTATTTCCCATATCCTATGCCTGTCTTGTCTAAGTTGATTGTAAGCATCTCAAGGCACTGCCTGCTTTCTCTCTGCTAGCTCGTTCTTTGTGGGTGCTTTCTGAGTTAGTCTTTATGCACAGCATAAGTAAATACATTTTATTAATAATAATAACAACTATGCAATTAATCCCATATAATTTAATGATGGGACTGAATGTAATGGCTCAAAAGAAGTATGGCAAAAAGGATTCTTTATGCTACACGGAATTAAGGTGAATAGAAGATATCTTGAAGTAGGCATGACAATATATCTTTAAAAATGCCTTATTTAACCAATTGCCTCTTTTAATTTGTTAGATAAAAGATTTTTATTGGTTTATTCATACATTCATTTCTTCATTGTGATAGGATCACAATGACTACTTATCTCTGAGCATGGCCTCAGGGATAATCCAAATAAGCATTATGTTAAACATTGTCTAGAACAATGGAGCAGCAAACACATGCAAGTGTTTCTGCTCCAAAGTTTAGGTGAAAGCCTGATATCTATATGCAGTATTTATATAGAATGTCTTTATATAGATGAGGAGGAAATAAGTTGTCAGCCCCAACCTCTGCAGGTGTTCAACAGGAGCTCATCTTGAGCAACAAGGTGGGATAAAGCAGGAAGGTGTTTATCTGCAAGGGCAGTAGAGGAATTCAGTTGTAGGTTGTCAGGAAATAGGAGATGTCTTCACTGAGAAACAAAAGGAGCATGGAGATGTTGATTTGTGAGCATGGAGGGGAGGGAGGAGAGTGAAGGACAGTGCTCACCAGTGCTCCTGCAGAAAAATGAAAGAAACACAAGGGAAGAAGGGGCTGACAAGCCAAGATGAAACAGTGACTGCAGAAGTGAAAAGTGAGAAAAACCGCAAAAACTAAGCTGAGACATGAGCTAGATATGCTAAATGTGACTGAAGGGCCAACAAGAGATTGGTTTAAGATGGACAGAGAAACTTTCAGATAAGAGGAAGCAAAACCAAATTTGAAGAGGATTTAGGGTAGATCCCAACAAGAGACAAAGAGACATGACTGGAAGAACCTGTGAGGTGACAAGAGGCACTTATACCAAAGGCTTTTTTTTTTTTTTAATGGTCAAAGAGACAAACCAATCTCTGTGGGTGCTAGGAATCAGAGCAGACTGAATGACTAAAGCTGTGAACAAATGAAGGAGAGAGTGTTGGGAAGATCAGGAAATGAAATGGGGTGAAGTTATCAGGGCAAGTGATGGAGTTACAGAAGACATGTTGATAAGCTTTTTGTTACTGCCACTTAGAGATTTGTAGACAGGAAGCATGAAGAGACTATTTTATCACTTTTATCTTTACAGAAAATGGTGAGATAACAAGTAGAGGAAAACAGACAGGAAGGCTTGACAAGGGTTAAGCAGCAGCAATGAAAAGCTCACTGGGATTACAAGCATTCAGATGAGCTGCAGAAGGAGAATTGTTTAGTTGTGAGAAGGCAGAAATGGAGGAGAGCAGGCATGTGGGAGAGGAAGTTGCCTTGATCACAGGATTTCCGTCACTGCACTGCAAGAGCACGCATGGGTGGAGCAAGCAGTGAAGGTAAGCTGGTGCTGTGGGTAGGTATGACAGTTCATCATGAAAAGAAATAAAGGAAAGAGAGGCCATGGTGGGTGAAAGTTATATATGTGGTAAGGTATAGTTAGAACATTGCTACTAGGGCAAACACATTTTTCTCTACTTAACATCAAAATGCAAACAAAGCTAAAAGATGTGCAAGCTTCATTTTTAATCAGTTTTACTAGTTGGTATTCTTTAGCTTTTCTTCACTTATTTTCATCATTCTGTTTTTCTTTCCTTCCTTTTTAATAGTCTGCAAGATATTAGCTTTTGCACCTTCTTGCACTATCACAGGACAAAGCTCTGAAATAATATTTTTCGTTGAAATGTTATTTATCTGGTGTTGGTGGGATGTAAATGCACCTGCAGCCACAGTCTTTAGGTGGTATATTCCATGCCAGCTAAAAATAAGTGAGACAACTAAGGCTTGTTAAACCGCTTAACAGATAAGATATAGCAGCCAGGCTATGCCCTGAGAAGTGTTCAGAACCACAGTGGTTCATTGCATTGTAATTATCATTTTCCTTTTTTGTTTTGTTTCTTTTCCTAAAAGCACATCCCTGGCCTACAGAAGTTACAGAAGATGCTTCAGACCAGCATTTTAGTTATTGGAAATATTATTTCAAGCTCTGTAAAAACAAGAAACATCATGATAGTAACACATTGTTTTAAGGTCAGGTTTATGCAATCCAAGGCTTTAGAATAAACCTTTGAGATTTTACTACTGTTGAACAGCTTTAGGGAGCACATGTTATTTCCTCTTAATGTGTGGGGCCACTTTAAATTTGTGCTTCTGCATTATTAAACCATCGTGGGAAGTGCAGCAGGAGGAAACCCGGGCAATTGGCTGCAGCTCCAGATGCAGCTGCTCGCTCATTGGAGAGAGGAGGATTCTCCCCGTACTAAAATTAGACCATCTCCGCCCTCCAGAAATGCTTCTGGAAACAGCGAGCCGCAGGAATTGTGACACAGCCCGAGGAGCCGCGGTGGGCAGGGAGCTGTGCAGGGCCCTGCTCCCAAACTGCAGCCTCGGGCTGCACTGGAAGGTGCTTTGGGTGGCTGGAAAAAAAATGTGCACAATAAACTGCAAGAGATTCATGTTAGCATGAAACACGGATATTAAATTCAACATTACTTATGTAATAATAATTCTGAAGTGTTCATGCGGGCAGAGGAACCCTTTGAACTGCTAAATTTAAGCAAGGGCTGTCAGACTTGTGCTCATTGATTTTGAAAAGATATGACGTCCTGAATTAACTCTGAACTAAAAAACTGGTGGAGTCTTTCATCAGCATGTCTTAAAAAATAAAACATGTTTATCAATTATCTCTGTGAAGTTGCAGTGTTTACAATGCCTTCAAATGAAATATTGGATAAGGTTAAAGAAACAAATGCCATGTGCCCATGTTGGTGAAGGAAAGCCTGTATCTGAATTTGTCTTGTGCACTTGGAGCCTTTATTTTTCAAGGTTATGAATAACAATGTCAGTCTTTGTTTTTTAAATATATTCAAGTTGGTTGCAAGGAAATACCTGCATATTTTTATTTCTTGTTTCTATATTTATATTATTCACATTACTCATGAAAAAGATTAAGGCAAAATGGATTTTTCTTACACTAAAACCAGCTTTTGCTGTAAATTTGCTATTTCCTCACCTAACCATGGCACACAGTGTCAGCACCTCTGGCTCTAAATCCTAGGGGATTTTTTTGTCTTTTCTCCTTTGCCTCTACTTTCGGTCTGATGCCATTAAAACTTAAAGCCTGCACACCTGTGTTTTCTCTCTGTCCCTTTATCAGTGTCACCTGAAGGGTTTTTTTAGTGCGATGTCCAGTTTTGGCTGAACTCAGCCGCGAGCCCCAGGTGTTCAGCACCTCGATGCCAGAGTTGTAAGCGGGCAGCGAGGAGCGGGGACGAGGCGCGGGCAGAGCGAGGAGCAGGGCGGCGGGGCCGGGGTTATCGGGGCCGCTCCCGGCCCACGCCCCGATAGCGCGGGGCCAGCTGGCCCGGCTCCACCGGAGCCTGGTAAACAAGGCCGGCAGCGACACCGGGCCCGGCTGCCCGCGGTCACGCTGGGTGGGCAGGGGCTGCCGGGCAGCCGGTTCCTGCTTAATGCCCAGCTCATGCGGTTTAGTGCACAGAACGGTGAAGGTTTCCTATTCGTTACACCTTTATGTCCGAAACGTGGAGAAGCACCGGCCGCCGCTGGAATCGCCTCGCAGTGCCGAGAAGCACCATTAGAGAGCTTTAGCATTGGAATTCGGGGCAGTGCTGGGAGCTCCCGCCCGCCGCCGCTGCTGAGGCGCGCCCACAGGAAACCTCCCCACGCGCGCTGATAAATGACCTGGAATGCCCGATGTCTTTTCCTTAATTTTTTTACCTGCCAATAAATCGCGCTCCGTCGCTTCATGCGTTTGCTGTGAGCGCGTGGCTCCCTCAGCAGCTCTGAGCGTGAGGTGAAACCGACATAAAGCTTTTATCGTCAGGGAGGAATGTGATTTTTAAGATCACGCCACACCCTTAACTCCCGCACGTCACGCAGAGCCCATCCCGGGGTAGCCGCGGTGTCTCTCCCGTTGTGTGCGCGGTGCCCGCGGCGGTGCCGGGCCGTCACCCCGCTCCGCCTCCGCCGCCATCACCGCGCCGCTCCCGGCCGCCATCTTCGTCCCGCCCCGCCGAGGCCCGCGGGCGCCATCTTGTGCCGGGCGCCGGGCCCGCCATCGCCCGGCAACGGCGGCGGCTGGCGGGGACCCGGAGCCCGGCGTGGCCGAGCCTGGCCGGGCCCAAGGCAGGCGGATGTGGTGGGCTACAAGCAGGCTTTGCAGCGGGGAGCAGGTTTTTGCAGCCAGGAAGGCTGTGCGTGTCTGGGTCTGGTGCCGGGCGGATGGAGAGAGCCGGGGCTGGGAGCGTGGGAGCGGGGCGGGCGGCGGGCGAGGGAAGGGCCGCAGGTGCCATTGTGTGCCGCTCTCAGGCTCCGTCAGCATCCCCGCAGCAGCCTGCGCTCGCAGTTCTCTCTGAAAGCTTGCGAGAGCTCAGGGTGTTTAGCCTGGAGAAGAGAAGGTTCTATGGAGACCTTCGACCCCCTCCCAGTGCCTAAAGGGGCTCCAAAAGAGATGGAGAAGGACTTGAGACAAGGACAGGGAGAGGCAGGAACAGAGGGAATGGCTGACAAAGGGCAGGGTTAGATGGGACGCTATGGGAGGCAATTCTTGGCTGTGAGGGTGGTGAGACCCTGGCACAAGCTGTCCATTGAGGCTGTGGGTGTCCCTGGATCCCTGGAAGTGTTCAAGGCCAGGTTGGATGGGGCTTGGAGCAGCCTGGCGTGGTGGAAAGTGTCCCTGGCCACGGCAGGATGGACATGGTCTTTAGGGTCCCTCTAGACCCAAAATATTCAGTGATGAAAAGGTTACAAATGGACACAGGTCTGTCAGAAACACCTGCACTGGTTCCACCGCTCACAACACAATTCTGTGCTCTCAGCTTGCCAATGCATCTGCTCAGTCAGGAAACTGGCACGTTGTCTGGGGCCCATAAATACAGGAATTAAATAACCACTGAGAAATTACCCTGAGGCTTACGGTGGACCAGCTCCAAGTCATTAGTCCCACCCACAGTCCTTGTGTGAGGATACAGATTTGGGGTTTGAAGGGGCCCATGGTGGATGGTGGGTGTGGGGGCACAGGGAGCCCACATCAGGATGGGTGATAATGCCTTTCCTTATACATTGTCCAACTTAGTGAATAACAACATTAAATTTTGGCCTTATTTTCCACAAAACGGGAATGTGAACTACAGAGAGCTAACAAGTCCAGAGAACACTGTTTTTTTTAAGGTGGGTGTGACCCTCTGTTCCTGGGGTACATGGTGAGTGTCACTGTAGGTGACTGTGCAATAGACAAATTCCAAATGTCATGTACTGGTGTCATTGCAGTTTGAAAGGGGCAAGTGAATTATAGTTTAGCAGCCAGGATGGAGGTGTTAATGCCTGAACCTCAGATTTATGTGGAAAGAACTCTTGCTATCATCAAACCAGATGTCATTGGTAAAGAAGAAGAAATAGAAGATCTCATTCTCCTATCAGGATTCCACATCATTCAGGTAACAGGCTGTGGTCCAGAGAAAATAGCTGTAGTTTATAAGTCAGGAAATTATTTAACTTCTAGCAATCAAGCCAGTAACTAAAAGCTTGTGTGTCCAAAAATTGATTCATGTTCTTCATGTCATTAAACATTGCTGCCAGATTCTGTAAGGAGATGCTTTTTAGTGCATGGGATGGAACAGAGCTAACAAACTATTTGCTGACCACAGGAAAACTCACACTTTATTAATAAACTCAGATTTAACGAATGTATGGAGCAGATGTGTGAACTTTCCAAGGCAACTCTTTGGAGAGTGTGTCATTCAGATCTAATAATATTTTGTGCAGTGTGCAAGTGGATATTAGAGAATTAATTGAACTCGAATAGCTGGCCAGTTGCAGCCTAACTAATTTTTTGTTTCCATTGTTTTTACAGTAAATATGATTATTTAAATGAGCTTATGAATATTTAAATTGTGCTTCCGGGCGGCCGCTGGGGGGCGCTGCGCCCTCGCGCCTGTGGGCGGCAGGGGCCCCCTCCCCCTCCTCCCCGCAATGTCTTGTTTGGTTTTGTTTTTTTCACTTCCTCCCTAACCTTTCCGGTTGTTTTATTTATTTGCATTCATTTATTTATTTCTTAATCTCTTGGAGCTACTGCAGAAGCAGTCATGAGGATGCTCCCTGGGCTGAAGCCCCCCTGCTCCAGAGCAGGCTGGGAGTGCTGCATTTGTTCATCGTGTAGAAGAAAAGGCACCAGGGAGACCTGAGAGCCCCTTCCAGTGCCTGAAGGGGTTCCAAAGAACTGTACAGAAACTTTGGACAAGGCCATAGAATGGTGGGACAAGGGAGAATGGCTTCCTACTGCCAGAGGTCAGGCTTAGAAGGGATTTTGGGAAGAAATTTCACCATGAGGGTGGTGAGGCCCTGGCACAGGCTGCCCAGAGCAGCTGTGGCAGCCCCATCCCTGGAAGTGTTTAAGGCCAGTTTTGGGATTTGAGCAACCTGGTCAAGTGGAAGGTGTCCCAGTCTGTGGTAAGGAGTTTGAAACAAGATGATTTTTAAGACACCTTTCAATGTGAACCATTCTATGTTTCGATTGATTCAATACGTATCAGCAGATGAGACAAAATAGATTATTTATTTAATTAATTGCAATATGTTAGTAGAGTCTTCTGATGTCTACAGTGACTTTTGACAGTAAAGTTATCAGGACTCTGAGTATATGGAACTCTTGTGTTACACAAGTTTGAGCTCGAAAAATGCACTTTAAATTTTTTTCTTGACTGTGGTTTCTGATAACTTCCCAAAGTTGTCCTGATCCTGGCCACCTGCAGGCTAGGCAGCTATTGAGAGAGTCACAAAGGAAAAATATAACAATTGTGTAATTAACAGTGTGGGCTGGAGAGAAACTTGTTTAAAAGTAGAACATTATGCTGTAGCAGCTGAGTAATAAAATGCTGCCCTTGTAACGCTTTTCACTTTTTGCTCTGTCATCTGGCAGTTAGAAATTGCTGTAGTTTGTCTGGGCTAAAATCACATCTTACTCAAATGGGCTGTTTTCTTAATTAACTTGGAAAACCTTTGCTCTTTGTTACTCTCTATCTAGAAGAGGATCCTATCTGGGTGAATCAGAGGAATTCCACAAACTACTCTGTGTTCTGCACTTGAAGATATGACTGCAGGAGAGGACTCTATCCTGCCTTTAATGCTCTAACCTGTTTCAATGTAGCAAGCAATTTTTTTTATTTTTTTTGTCTTCTACACTTTATAGAAACGGAAGCTCCAGTTAAGCCCAGAGCAATGTAGCAACTTCTACGCAGAACAATTTGGAAAAGTGTTTTTTCCTAATTTAACAGCCTATATGAGTTCTGGTCCTATAATTGCTATGGTTCTTGCTAGACATTGTGCAGTCTCATACTGGAAGGAATTGCTGGGACCATCCAACAGCCTAAGAGCTAGGATAACTCACCCTCACAGGTAACTCACTGAACTGGCCTTGGGCAAATCAGTAGGATTTTGTCATTCTTTTGATTAAGACCAGAATTATTCCTCTTTTTTGGTTTTTTTTTTTTTTATTATTTGTTTGTCTGT